GTAGACTACAAGTCTCCTCCACCACCATATGTCTACAGCTCTCCACCACCACCACCATACTACTCACCATCTCCTAAAGTTGAATACAAGTCTCCTCCACCACCATATGTTTACAGTTCTCCACCACCACCTCCATACTACTCTCCATCACCAAAAGTAGACTACAAATCTCCCCCACCACCATATGTCTACAGTTCCCCACCACCACCATATTACTCACCATCACCCAAGGTTGAGTACAAATCTCCTCCTCCACCATATGTCTACAGCTCCCCACCACCACCATATGTTTACAGCTCCCCACCACCACCATACTACTCACCTTCTCCTAAGGTGTACTACAAGTCTCCACCACCACCATATGTTTACAGTTCCCCCCCACCACCACCATACTACTCACCATCACCTAAGGTCGACTACAAGTCTCCTCCTCCACCATATGTGTACAGTTCTCCACCACCACCATATTATTCACCATCTCCTAAAGTTGTATACAAATCTCCTCCACCACCATATGTTTACAGTTCTCCTCCACCACCATATTATTCACCTTCTCCAAAGGTACACTACAAGTCTCCTCCACCACCATATGTTTACAGTTCCCCACCACCACCATACTATTCACCTTCCCCTAAAGTACACTACAAATCTCCTCCACCACCATATGTTTACAGTTCCCCTCCACCACCATACCACTCTCCTTCCCCTAAAGTACACTACAAATCTCCTCCACCACCATATGTTTACAACTCTCCACCACCACCATACTACTCACCATCTCCTAAGGTTCACTACAAATCGCCACCACACCCACATGTGTGCGTCTGTCCACCACCTCCTCCATGCTACTCACCTTCCCCTAAGGTGCACTACAAGTCTCCTCCACCACCATATGTTTACAGTTCTCCACCACCACCATACTACTCACCTTCCCCTAAGGTGTACTACAAGTCTCCTCCACCACCATATGTTTACAGCTCTCCACCACCACCACCATACTACTCACCTTCCCCTAAGGT